CTAATCCCAGAAAACTACGGACTTCAGGAGTTCTCGGCGCATCCCATTTTTCAACTGCTTCAATCTTAGCAGGATCTACTTTCACCCCTGCCTTAGATATAACATAACCCAGCTATTGAACCTCTCTTGACCAAATTTCACATTTGGACAATTTTGCATATAGCTTTTCTTTCTTTAGGAGTTCAAGGATCAGACGAAGGTGTTCAACATGTTCTTTATTAGATTTTGAGTATATAAGTATATCGTCGATAAATACAATAACGAATTTATCGAGATATTCGCTACATACTCGGTTCATCAGATCCATGAAAGCTGCATTGGTTAAACCGAAAGGCATAACCAAAAACTCATGATGTCCATATCTGGTTCGGAAAGCAGTCTTGGCAATATCTTCATCCCTGACTTTAAGCTGATGGTATCCCGACCGCAAATAGATTTTGGAAAAATAACTAATAGATTATCGATTGTTGGTAAAGGATATTTATTTTTGATTGTTAGCTTGTTTAACTCTCGGTAATCGATACACATCCGCATTGATCCGTCTTTCTTTTTGAGAAAGAGAACCGGAGCACCCCAAGGTGAAGTACTTGGTCTGATGAAACCTTTGTCAAGAAGATCTTTTAACTGAGTAACCAATTCTTTTAATTCTGATGGTGTTAATCGATATGGTGCTCTAGCCACTGGTGCTGCCCCGGGTACAAGATCAATTCTAGATTCGATAGATATATCAGGTGGTAGACCAGACAGATCTTTTGGAAAAACTTCTAGATAATCATTGACAACTGGAATTGACTGTTGCTTCCCTTTCTCTTTCTTCGAATCAATCACATAGACTAGATATCCCTGACACCTTTTCTGAATATATTTACGAGCTTTCAGCACTGATAACAAATTGGTATGGTGATCCTGCCGATCACCATAAATAACAATCGGCCCTCTGTTTGGTAAAGTGATACTGATCATCTTTTTATTACACAGAATATTGGCCCGATTTTCTGCCAACCAATCCATTCCCACCACAATAACAAATTCTCTCATTGGCATTGGAAACAGACGGATCGGCAACCCACACCCGTCAATTTCAATTATGCAATTATTGTACACATAGGTAACAGATACTTGACTATTAGCGGTATCAACCACTAATATATTGTCAAGAGGCACATAATTCATATATGCACACCCAGCAAATGATGGTGATACGAAGGAAAAATTCGCACCAGAATCAAATAACACTTTAGCATATATTGAATTAACAAGAAATGTATCTGTTACCACATCTGGCATCGCTTCGGCCTCATTCTTTGTCATCTGAAAAGAACGACCCGCGCCCCTCCCTGTGTAACAACCCCCAAATCCATACATTGCATATAACACATATTTCATACATAGAATACATGTTTTCCCCACAAAGGTCCATAATACAAGAGTCTATAACGTGAAATACATAACTCAAAATTTCAAAAAGTACATGCTCTTGTATCCTAGCATCTATGTTCCAAAAACATAGCTAATTAAGA